TACATATATGTGCATGTGCATGCTCTGTTCCATTTCTCAGTTATCCTCTTTCATTCACATGAAAATCAAAACATGCAAAGCCCAGTAATTTTCTAGATTAAGAAAGTTTATTGAGAAAGTTAAATAATTGATAATTTAGCCAGCAGTATCTGGAGGATTTACATGGACAGAGGGAAAGATGAGTAACAAAGTGGAACGTTATAATGTGCTTCAAGTCTCCACAGCATTATGTGAAACCCTGGCTATTTTAGTTAGCTTGACTGTGACAATGATTGCACTGTGTTTGTGTGTCAAAACGTCATGCTAAACAACTGAAATATATACAATTTCTTTAAAAATGCCTATAATCTACACCTAGAAATGCCATTGACAGTATTTTTGGGCCAGGGAAAAGTTGCTGGTGATTTTCCACTAAGATTTCCTGGCCTCTCACAGCCATGACACATAAACGGCGTCAAGTGCCATGAGAAATCATTGTCAGGGCATTTGTGCTCCCAGGATGTTCTCATACCCACAGGTGTCAAGTCTTCTGCTTTGTTTTTAGCCCCTTGATCCCCTAATGGTGCTGGGGGTCCTGTCTCTTATTACTCTCACTTTTCTCGCCTCCCCCTCCACTAATCCTACTTCTTCTCCCTTTGCAATGTCTCCTTTGTGGAGGCATTTGTCACCTCCATTATAGTTAGGAGACTGACAGACCTGCTGTCCCCCCACAAGACCATATCATTGGTTCATTGGTTCAGTGCCTAAACCAGCCCCCCCCCAAAAAAAAAGAAAGAAAGAAACCCAAGAAAGAAACCCAAAACATTCTCTTCTGTTTTCCTTCTCCCCACACCACCCTGACATTTTATCACTGTGTTTCCACCTGTTACTCTCTTCGCTGCCTGTCAGGAGTGGTCTGGTTTGTATGAAGCTGGTGATAGCTTGCTGGGTCATCAGGTTCCTTTCCATGTCTCTCCCACACTGTGGAAACTCATCTCTGTTTCTATGGCCCTAAGATCATGGACTTTACAATCTGTGACTTTGCCCATGACTCAAGCCGACCTGCTCTGACACCCACTACACTGAGTGTATAGACATTTTTTCCATCCTTGTGTTGGGCACCATACTGCATGATGGTCTCCTTCAGTCTCGTCATGGCTGCAGTACTGGGTCCCTCTCTCAGACTCCTGATGACCAGTTCCACATATGTCTAAGTTGTTCACCTCTGCTGTCTAGCACCAAAGCTTCTTGTCTTCCAGCAGAAACAGTTCTTTGGGGAGCTGCCACCCTATCTCTGTACAGCGATGCCCAGGGCCTTGTCTCTTTCATGTACCCCTTCACAGAGCCTGCGCCTTCTCTTCTCCCACAGAATCAGCCCAATGTCCCAGAGTTAGTTATTTGCTTAATGCCCTCGAGGCTGCTTTTCTCAATGCAGTCTGAGCAGAGTACCAGGGCAAAGCAAGGTGGAAAAAGACAGACGAGGAGGAGATGGTAATGATGCTGTGGGCAGCAGGGTGAGAGGGTACAGGGTTTCCTTGGAAATCTGTGGGTAGTTGAGGAAGTTATGGGACCTTAGCTGGTGGGACTAGCATGGGTGTCCAGTTTCTTATACTGGATTGAGTCTGAACCGAGCTGCCAATCACAGAGCAGGGCAAAAACAGGACAAAAAGTTGGTGTAACTTTCCTCTAACTTCTAAAACTAGCTCTGTCCATGGGATAAAACCCAAGAAGCAACATTTAGTGCTGATAGTCACAGTGTGGGGCCACCAAGAATCCAGGAAAATGAAGAAAGGCTACCCAGCTGTACAGGCAGGATCCTAGGATGCACAGCATGGAGACACTGATCTCTTACTATATTCAAATAAGATATTTTACTTTCTTATCAATCACCACAGGATTTTTTTTTTTTTAAATCTGTGGGTCTTGCCAACTTCAGATTCTGGAAAAGCGTATTCATGAAAACACTTTTTCAGCCTGAGAACTTTCTCTCCTCTACCTCTCGAGGGATCAATTATTTTCCCTCCTCACAAACTTTGTGAAAAAACTAAAAAACCAAGTGGGGAACAATTATTCTTTATACCCAGAGTTTCTGTATCTTGTCCTCGTAAACTAATCAGTTCTTAATCCTCTTGGAGTTGCCTCAGAAAGTCACCTTCCTGTTTGCTTTTTTCTCTGTACATTACTTTCTTTAAATATTAAAAGAAAAGGCGAGGGCTTTGTGCCAGGGCACTGCTAATCTTTCACAGTGTTTTCTCAGAAGTAGGATCCCTGACTGGTCAGTGTGAGGAAGACATGACTTGCCTAAGGGCTCCACAGTCATCTCTCTTCACACTCAGCATCCCTCTGTATACATGACATTCTCAAGAAAGCCCACCTGTGGTCCTTGGATGCTCCTACATCAGCATCTCTTGAGAGCTTGTTAGAATCTCAGGATCTAGTCAAGCCCTGAATTAGAATTTGTTTCTTTTTAAGAAATAGGGTTCCCAGGTGATTCCTAGAACTTTAATATTTGAGCTGCACTGATCTACATGATTCACTGATGGAGTTTTCAAGTAGGAAATTGTGTATGGATTTTTGTTGTTGTTGTTTGGGGCATGGGGAATGGTAGTTAAATATTGCCTACCATGCACAAGGCCCCATAGATCCCCAGCAGCAGTACACCAGTATACACACACACACACACACACACACACACACACACACACAGAGAGAGAGAGAGAGAGAGAGAGAGAGAGAGAGAGAGAGAGAGAGAGAGAGAGAGAGAGAGAGAGTCCTAATTGCAGTGTGAATGGCACTAGAAAAGGAATTTGATATCACATCCACATTTGTTTTTGCAGGAGCCAACCTCCCTTAGTAACATTTTCCTCAAGTCTTATTTCTGGCATCAGTAACCAGGACAAAAGCTCCTCAGAGTCCCATCCTACTCTGGTATTACACTTATTGAGTAACTTTAGCCAGATGGCCCAGCCCTTGATGCTTTTACAGTATTGTGTAGAGAGATATGGAGATGCTTTGGTTTCACATATTTATCTTGCTGAGACAAAGGCCCACAATGTCCACAATGTCCACAAGTGATGGACCTGGATGGATAGGAAATAATTGTGACAGCTTTCCAACTTGCCAGAAAGAAGCTTGAGATTCCAATTCTAAGCCAAAGTAGTTGTTAGGAAGCCTCCCCTGGTTTAAGTCATGTTACTAAACCACATTGTCATGGAATTGTAAGGGAGCTAGTAACTCACTGAGGTCCACCACTCCCATTGTGTGCAAGCATTTCCAGGGTAACTCATTCATCCTCTTGGCTTATAGATACTACTAAAAACAAGCTCAGAAATAGAGCACTCCAAAATCAACAACAATAGCAATAACTAAACCCTGTTTAATTGTAGAAAATTTGAATTTAAGTTGCAACCATTATGCCAAATATGACTTCGTTTAACTTGTACTTACTGTGTAGTATGTTTCTCTTTGTGTTACAAAAGCTAATTCATGAAAAAGTGAGCTATTACATACTCCCCTTACAGAGTATTTATGAATGAGATATTGCCATTGAACAATTTCATAAAACCCTCACTGTCTACATTGATACTTCTGGTCCCTGTTCAGGTGGAAGTTGGAATTGTTTACAGTACTGTTAATTATGCAAAAACTAGCTGTGGTAATGTATAGTGGACAATCTCTTTTCTTGCTTTGTTAACTGATTTTCTGTTACCATCAACTAAGATGGCACTCTACGGCTCAGGTTACAGGGTTAACTCATGTTCCAATTTCATCTATAAACAAAACAAAACAAAAAACCCTTCAGTTCTAAAGACAGCTAGCACTTATTGAGTATCACTGTACAGAGGTATCCTCCAAGCCAAACCACTCTCATCTTTGGAAGCTGGGCTGGGCCTGTTTGTAAATGATCATCACAGTTCAGCTTGTTGGCTGTTGCCATTCCCTCATGAAGGGAGAAGGCAGGGAAGGATATGATACCTTCACCAGAGTATCCAGCTACCAGTCCAAACCAAGTAATGCAGTTCTGCCCTGATCCCATGTGGGATCTGGGTCTTAGGGAGGTCCTAGAATATATAGTCTGGGAAGCACTTGGGGAGGAGGGTCCATTTACCCATCCATAGGGAAGTCATCATCCATGCTGTGTGCAGACCTTCCAATGTGGCTCCTTTAATGCCACCCACAAACCTGGCCATAGTCTGTCTTCATTATTTTGTAAATAATACTAAAAAAAATGTTTTCTAGGATGAACCTTGGTGGAATCATACTTTACTTTGTTTTGAGGACCTTAGGAGGAGGGGCAGATGTTTGTGTCTCCCCCACAGAAGGAGTTTTAGCAACAGATACCAATTATATTTTGAAAGCAGAAGATACAAAGACATACAAGGCATGCTGCCTGATTAGAGGAGCTCAGAATTTTGCATGGGAAGATAAAACTGCATAAGTTATCACATGCAAAGCATTCTGGGAGTGCAGTGGAGGAGAGCCTCATTATTTTTTTTGCTTAATTTGAAAGTTAATTTGAAAGAATCTTTGCTACTTAAGTTGAACTTGAAGGTATAAAGAACAGCTTCACAGACTGAGAAAAAGAAAGATGAATTCCTGAGAGGTAACTGAATGTGTAAACTAACATAGACAAACAGGGTATGTAGCATAAGCAACCAAGTCTAGGAGATGGAATTAATAAGTCAATTTTCTAGGGAGTAGCCATGTGTATTAACTAATCAGATCTAAGTTCCTTGGGGGTTTTGTGAATGTTTTCTGCAAGATTCTCTGCTTCCTGAAATAGGCTGCATCTTGTTACAATAAATTTTAAATGCACATTTTGGACATCTGTGTAGACATCTTTGCATTACAAGACAATGATGTATTCACAAAAGATACTATTTACCTGCAGTGCTAGGATTTTATTGCTTACAACATTTCAGATAACAGAAGGAAGTTGAGAGAGAGTTTAGATCCCTTGAGACACTTGGTTTATCCTTTACCCAGCAGCTCAATTGATCCAATACAAACTTTGTTCAGATCTTCCATTGAATGGAAGTATGTTGATGGTGGCTGGGGGATGGAGGGAATTATCTTTTGATCTCCTGAGTTTGTGGAGTGATAGAAGGAATAACATTTGTGCAATTCTTTTTCCTTTGATCATAGTTAGCATGTACCATGACAAGGAGAAGGACCTCAAGTGAGTCCTTTGAACACAATTTCAAGGGTGGAAGACCCGAGAACTTCTGGGTGAGTTTTCCTCAGTTGGGGAGATAGTGAATGGGAACACAGGTGAGGATTGGGATCCATACAGATGCTGGTGGAGAAGGAAGGTCTTCTCACATTTGGGGGTCTCAGTGTACATGAGAAGTAGGAACTGTGAGTGGTTACACTGTGGCGTTTACTCCCACAGGATTGAAGGGAAAGGAAAAGATAAAGGTGCAGGGGCTGAGTGAGAAAACCCAGAGGCAGAATGCTACTTACGCCCTGGAGACAGTCAATCCCCACCCAGAACCCACTGCTAATTTGCCAAGAATTAAATACAAACACTATTATCAAATAACAAAGTAACAGTTAAGGAAATGGTGCTGAAATAAAGGCAGAGCTAACAAGGTACCTTGCCATGTCTTCCTCTTAACTGTGTTTATGAAGTTCTTATGTCATCTGTATCTACCATATCAAGATGGCAGAAATGTGGCACCACTGGGTATCTCTGCTCAGTACCATATTCAGGTATGAGTAGTCTGAGAGTGGACATGATGAGAATATTCACACCATGGAAATGGAAAACTCTGTATGACAGCACATGGAGAGCTGGTCATTAAATATTTACCATCTTTCCTTAGTGTCTGTCAGGCATGATGATAAGAAAAATACTTACTATGGGAAATTAAATGGTCAAATAATTACTGAAGCTAATGTGGTTACCATAGAAAATTTTAAACTTGTTTTTGGTTTTATAAAACCTGTGTCATTTGAGAATTTCATTCACACATATAATGCATTTTGATTAGATCGACTTCCCTTTCCCTCCCTCCCAGTCCTTCCCTATCCCCTCCACAACCTTTCCCTCCCAACTTCATGTGTTTTTTTCATAAAATTTTTATGATTATCATTTTTAATTTTATGTGTGTGGGTGTTTTGCCTGTATATATGTATGTACACCACATGTGTCTTCAATGTCTGTGGATGTCAGAAGAGGACGTTCGATCCCCTGGAACTGGAATTACACATAGTTGGGTGCTGCCATGTGGGTCCTGGGAATTGAACTCAGGTCCCCCAGAAGAGCAGCTAGTCTTTCCTGGCCCCCTTTTTTTAAACTCACCGAGTTTAGTTAGTGCTGCTTGTATGTGCATGAGTGTAAGACCCTCTACTGAAGCAAGGGTAACCTCTTAAGAACCAGATTCTTGAAGAAACCTGACTCTGTCCCCAAGCAGTCATGGGTTGCCAGAAGATTCTAGGCTAGAGGTGGAATTTCATGAGTTCCTGCCTGACCCATGCAGGGATCCGGCTGACTTGGTCTTGACTAGATGTGTGTAAGCAGTCATAGCTGCTACTGTGAGTTCATGTGTACAATGGTGCTGATATGACAAGAAAGCATTTTTTTTAACCATAGGCATCCCCTGGCTCTTACAGTCTTTCTGCCTGCCTCCTTGATGATTCTGAGCCTTGACAGATATAGGGTATAATATAGATGTCCCATGTAGAGCTAAGCATCCCACAGCATCTTATTTTCTGCGCATTGATTAGTTGTGGGTCTCCATAATAGTTGCCATCCATCTACAGTGAAAAGAAGCTTCTCTGTAAGGGTTGGGAGACACATTAATCTATGGATGCCACTGGACAGACTGGTGAATGTTTAAAACTGTGACACACAGACATTTTTTAACCTTTCTCAACAGCTAAACTCCCATTTATGCAGTCTTCATTACTGCTGGCCATAAAGGGTCTATTCCTCCGTTTAAATGGTTACTTTAGTTTCAATTTTCTCATTAAAAGCATCCACACCCTCATGCCATGCTCGCTAATCTTCTCAGTTGAAAACCAGTCTAATTTTGGTTTCCCACTGGGGTTTACATGTGTGACAATAGACTTGTATTAATCATTTAGAACTCCAGTTATTCTAGAACACTGGGTAAGAATGCTAGAAAACCAGAGTGTGAGCATGAAGGGAATCTGAGCTAGGAAAACCATCTCACAACCTTGAAACCCTGCCTTATTTAAATGAGTTCTGAGAGTATTAATAACCTTGCCCTTCTATCATCCTGAGGTGTGGGTCCAGTGTAAGCTATTTCTGTGAAGTGGAATGGAATTTGGAGCCGTGACAGATGAACTTATGTACTGATATGTAGCTGTGTTCTCGTTTCCTTGGGAAAGGGGTATTATACAAAAGAACTGTAAATCCACCAGGCAAATAACCTTGAACATGAGCTGAATAAAAATATTCACTTAAAATAGAAACATCCTGCATAAAACTCTGAAGTATTTACAGATATTATTGAAATAAATAAAACAACCTTGAAAAGTGACAATGGTATTTGCATGACTTCCTTAAATCATCTGTGTGATGCTTTTATTCATGACTTAACTAGAATAAAGTGATTTTATTTAAAAAAGAAATACAAGTGACATTGAGTCTATTGTTGCCTTCTGCCAATGGGGGTCCATTTCAACTAATGGCAGCTAACCACACAATCACTGATAGGAGGGGCTATTGGAATTATTGACAGTGTAGGACTAAGAACCAGGCAGAAGTTTTATATATCCATACTGGGACCTATAGGAAGGAAAGCAAAGTAGCTCCAGATCCTGGAGACTCATACTTCTAGTTAATTCTAAGTCTGATGCGGGTGGAAGAAGAAATCCTGAGGATAAGGAGGTAAGAAGAATCGAATCCTCTTGTCCATTCTCCCATCTCTTTCCTTAGCTTGTTTTCCTCTCTGCCAGTCACCTGACCCATTAGTGTCAGAATCATGGCTTCACGGTAGCCCCAGAATCAGTACCTTTGTCCCGGGCTCTCACACTACTCTAAGTAGAAAAAAACTCCTTATCAAGATAAATAGAAATCCTAGCCGGGCGCTGGTGGCGCACGCCTTTAATCCCAGCACTCGGGAGGCAGAGGCAGGTGGATCTCTGTGAGTTCGAGGCCAGCCTGGTCTCCAAAGTGAGTTCCAGGAAAGGCGCAAAGCTACACAGAGAAACCCTGTCTCGAAAAACAAAAACAAAAACAAACAAACAAACAAAAAAAAAAGATAAATAGAAATCCATAGCATCTCCTCCTTTGGTCTATAGCAAAACTTGTGAAATTCAGCTCTTCATTTCTTTCCTTCTCAACAGCACATGCTGAGCACTGTTTTACTTTTGATGGATGATTAGTAGATCTGTATTTCGCTGATTCACTGTGAATGCAAGCTGAGTGGAAAGCATGTGTAAAATGTTTTATAAAGTTTGAGGAGCTATGTAAAAGCCAAGTATTATTAGTAGAATCATTCTTACTCATCATCTTTTTGTTTGTAATGTGAATACTTTACAGAATGGTAAACAGAACTTAATTTCAACTAAAATGTATTAATTGGTTCAACAGCCTCAGGCCCAGAGTCATTGCTGTGATATGTAGTCAAAGGAGACACAAAGTTTAAGGACCAGAAACTGAAACCAGGAGCCTGAAGAGAGTCTGACTTGGGTAAAAGGTGTTGTGGGAAGATGCACACTTCTACAATGCCAGCGAAAGCAGAGCCTTCCTGACTCTTCATTCTGGGATGGCACAAGAGGAGCCAAAGTGCTCCTCGCTAAGCCACATCTCCTGTGTGGGCTGTGTGTACTCACTGTCTCAAAGACACCTAGACTGCTTGTTTTTTTTTTAAATTATCTTTTAGTTTTCAAAGTAAAATATAATTACACCATTTCCCCCAGCCAACCCCTCAAGTAGACATTTTGTTTTAGAGTTTGACATTTTCAACGAACAGTTTGGTGTCTAAGAATATACTCTTGCTTGTAATTTATAGTACCAAAATTGGGGGTCTGGTTTGATAAATTAAGATATATTTATAGAAAACTTTTGTTGGAATGAATCAATTTAAGGTTATTATAGAAAATAATGAAGCTAACACCATTTTTCTCTCATCCATTGCTCTTTGATTGAGGCCTTAGTAACCAAATTATTTTTTAAATTTCATGCTATAATTGAGGCAAGGAAGAAAATGGAGCTGGTTATTCAGTCTAGCTCATTAAAGAAACATAACGTAGTGAGTGGTCACAAAATAGATGACAGACAGGAAGGAAGTAAAACCCAAGGTAAAAAAAAAAAAGAAGTAGAAATGGACCATGGGTGAGTGAAGAAGATGACTTTATCCTGGATCAGCAGATCAAAGTTCGTCCTTGGCACCATAATCAAAGTCATCAGTATCTCCAATAGGAACATAATCAAGAGGAAGTACATTGAAGTGTGTGGGGCATTGCTGTCTATGACCATCATGATGGTATTTTCAATGATGGTGTAAAAAAAGAATATAGAGAAGGACAGAGAAGCTAATGCTGGCCAAATGATGAGAAACCCAAGAGGAGAGGACAGACTCAGAGATGTACCTCTTACTTGCCAGAATCCAAGGGCTGGATCTCTGCAAGAAGGGAAACAAGAGACAAGGACAGAGGTAAAGAATTGTTAAACATGAAACAGGGAATTAGCAGAACACATACAGGGAACAGGAAGAACGATGTGAGGAGACAATAACTGATTAATAACGGAATAGAAAAAAGAGAGGAGTTGATTAAGAGAGATATTAGAGCATCTGGCATCAACACTTAGGAAGAAAAAGAAGTGGCAATAAGAAAAGCAGTTGAATCAAGGAAATCCAAATACAGAGGAGGGAGAAACAGAAAGAAAGAGAGGAAATACGCAAAGAAGGGTTATGGAAGTCCCAGAAGCCTTCAGTGTAGAAGGGTGCTGTGGGTCTGTGCTATACATAACCCAAACTGTGTTTAAGACCCCCCTTAAAGGGTCTTTGAAAATCTACACTGTGAGGACCCTCGTATGTTCACATTCCTTGGATGGTTATCTTGAACACAGTGGAAAATTAGTGTTTGGGCCAAAGAATTAGGTTGCTATTGAGTGATGATTCTGGCATAGACTGAGGTCAGGAGATACTCTTGGGAATCCAGGCAGCTGTTCTGTCTAAGACTGCTGGCCTTCAGGGGTCTACCTGAGAGTCCTTTCAGGGCTGCAGTGTCTGCCTTATGCTTCCCATGTCATC